GCGCCACATACCACCCTAGAAGAGACAGAGAGGCTTCGTGACTGGGTTAAGAAAATCCTACCTAGGGCTGAAGTGGAGGAGAAGACTTACCACGGCCAAATGCGCTTCTCCGTGCCAGCGAGCGAAGTTCTGAGTGCGTTCAGCGGCCACAAAGTTGAAGAAATCAAGCGGTTGGACCAGGATGTATCTTCCAGCGCCGTTGGTCAACTGGCTGTCATGTTGGAGGAGCAACGCGACAACCTGGGTGTCATGCATTACAGCGTCAGTCCCACAACATTAGACCAAGTGTTCCTCACAATTGTTGGACAGCACAACGTTCAGGAAGAAGGCTACAAAGAGCCAGAGGGGAGGTCCTGGTGGCGCTTTGGGCGATGAGTGGGTGTGAAACACACCAAAAATGGTAGATGATGTGAGCACGTAGTGCACAACTCAAAAGAGATACCCAAATCCGAGAGGCAGATAGGCCTTAATAGATGATTACTGAATTATTAACCGGGGTATTAAAAAGTCGATAGACGTCGATAGACACCATCATGTATCCAACACATCGAGAACTTCGTTCTTCAATCAAAGGTGGGCGTTTTCCTCCCGTTCCGCACCCGCTGGCACACGTTGCAGACGACACCGGCATCTCGGAAGCCTCTTGTCGATACATTATTCATTCTGGATTACCAGCCCAGATCACATAGGAACTTTCTGTTGTTGAGCGAGGATCACTCTCGAATCATATCAGATCACAGAGCCATTTCTGCGTATCTCTCTTCGGCCCTGTGATCCTTTGCTGGAAGGAGGGGACCATGTCGGTCTGGGGCTCGTGGGGCTGAAATTGGATTTGACGGGGGTGATTGCGTCCTCTCGTACACTTGCCAAACCAAAAATGCTTTCAGTTGAAGCGGTCTGGTGCTGGTGTGAATAAGGCGACACGTGGGTGGCGGACTTGTCTTCTTTCGCGTGGCTCGACCGCGCGCTTGAGACAGCCGACTCCGTGGTGGCCATCTCCACGTCGGGCTTGACGATGGCTGGAGGATACGCACTCGTGGGGAATGTGCCACGGGTATCGCGGGTGCCACGAGTGTCTGAGTGCAAGGAGTAGTTCACCCTAGCCATCATCCTCGGGAACAGTTTGGTCATGAGGGGTCGCAGAGTCGGAAGGCAGGCGCAGGTAACGGCCGAAGAGATCTCTCCGAGCGACCAGAGAGAAGCTTCAACATTGGTCCAGGTGAAGTCCTGTTGAATGCTGAGATATTTGGTGCGGACAATAGAAACGGCCACAGTACTGATAACGGTTAGAAAACCGACATGCTGCGTCGAACGATCGGACAGAAAATCTGTAACCACTCACAAGAATCCGAGACTGAATATGCCCATGAGGAGCAGCTTTTGCTTCCTGGGGAGACTAAGATGCCAAAATATGGGCAGAGGAAGCGCAAAGACGGCGACATCGGTGGCAATATTCCCCGCCGCATTCACATACCACTGTGGCTGGTTAGGGATGCAATACGCCTTGATGGTCTTGTCCCAGAACCCTTCGACGGGTATACAGGTGAAGGTAGCAATGAGAAGCTGGGAAACAGCCCATGCTCCAACAACGACGATTGCGACAGCGTAAATTCTCCTCATCTTAGGAACAGCCATGATCCGGTAATACTGGAACAGAAAAGATAATTTTATACAAAGAAGCGCAATGTTGTAGAAGACGATGGAGACAAAGAAGGTCTGGAGAGCCGTGTGAGCGAGCACCCAACAGATCAAATCTTAATAAATCTGGTAGGGAAAGGTTCAAAACTCACGTGGAGGTACTCCGGGATCTCTGATTTATCCAGTGTTGAGACATGTCTCCCGAGACCATGTTCGGTCACTGCCGTCCGCATTAGCTAACATGAACAGGGCCTTCTTGTTCAAGGAGGTTTGTGACATGACATACTTGCTGCAATAGCAGTTCCGCAACCTATCAAAGCCAACTTTCCTCAGACCAGTCAGTCCTTCATGTTTCCCACGAGCACTTTGTCGAAATGACTCACAAGTCCAGCGATGGCAAGAACGTCATCAATGCCGAAGAGTTCAATGACCTTTGTTCTCGTGTAAATCCGTAGACCCACCAGCGTAGTGGGAAACATGATACAGAAGACTACGGAGCCGATGACAACTCCTCTCTGGTCTTCATACGAGTCTGCAGGAAGCTTTGCCATACTCATCTTCGCTGGATCGGTAGTTTTGGCTAAGGCAAGATGAAGAATGGGAGAGCGTGAACAGCCCAGTTTAAGCGGGCGTAGACTTGGCGGGCAGCACCTAATAAACAGGTCGATTATGGGGCAAAGAATGCGTTCTTGAATAGAGCGAAACTTAAAGACGCACATCGCAGGCTCCCTCTCCCCAAAGACAAGTCATGAACTGCTGCGAGCAGGGGCTCAAAATAGGATGACGGGAAGGGGAAGACAGAGTTCTGAACAGCATTCACGCGAAGGAAGTGTGTTTGCGGAGCACACCACCATTCTTCGCCATCATGACCGAGTCATTCTCGTCACACCAACAGGTTCGTAACGCCGAGACTCTGATCCCAGCTGGCGACAGGGAAAGAGGAAACGAAAAAGAAACAGGTCGACTGGGCCGTCCCTCGTTCAAATAAGCGAGCATCACGCACGGCGAAACAGAACCCGCAATCAGACTAACGAACTGGCAAGACTCGATTCACCAATATGGCCAGATGGAACTGGGGATGAACCCGGCTCGTCAACGACAAGTTGGCTGTCCGTCTGTCTGTCTTAGCCTGCTTGATGATGGCGAATTGAAGTCCGTGCTTTTTCCCTGATTCTGGATTCACATCCATCTCGATGAAGGTTGGCCAGGGGAGGGAGTAGCGAGGCAAGGCATGGAAGAGAGCCGCATGGGGTTCGTGGGAAAGCAGAGTTTAAACCAAATAGGAAGATCAAGCGCGGAACAGGCGAAAGAGCGAGAAGGGTGAAGATGTTTAGCGTATGAACTACTCTGGTGTTACTAGGGATCGAGAAAGCAGACAGCGGGGGGGCTTTGACTTTGACTTTCTTACTTCGCGGCACCTACATCTGTCCGCCCCTTGAGCCGGGAAGACCATGCTTCAAGAGGTCCCCTCAACTGCGAGTCCAAACCTCGCCAACTAGGGAAGGATACGAGCGGTGCACAGCGACGAGAACCACGTCAATCAAGCTTTGAGTATAAGAGAGAGCGCGGCGCACGGGTATCTCAACCCGCGATGGCAGCGGAGAACCTTGTTTGGCAGACAGGTGGTGTGCCGGGTCTGCGAATCAGAATACAAAGTCCGATGCTTGACTGAACGCTCAGTCCGCGTCCTCTCTCCTGAACTCATGGCCCGTCTAGCCCATGTACTCTGTCTTTGGAGTTGCATTTTTCGCCATCTTATAGTCATCCGTCCTACCACCCACTCTTGGTTTTTTCCGCTGTCTCTGCTGTCCGGATCTTACTATTTCCGAAGATCCTTCGGAAGAGGATATTGTCACGAAACGCCATAGAAAAAGATGAGATATAGGGGTCCCAAACACAGGAGGAGGGTGTCGAGAAGCGACTTTGTATCATCAGTTGATTTACTGAACTTTATCGACTTTTCTTGTCTTCACCACTATCGGCTGTCAATGGGTTACATACACCGGAAAACGCACGAGAACCAGGAGTTGGTCTTGCTTACAGCCAGCCGTAGTCGTGGCAACATCATCATATGCGCCGTACTCACCTAACCCTGCCTGCTCTCTGGATGCGCTGATACACTTTTCAGCCTATGGACGGAGCATGAGTCGCAAACATCGCTGATTCTGCAACTGAGAATTGTATATTCGAAGGTAGCCGGTCCTGGATGGCATGCGCCCGTTATTGAGCGGCTAGGTCCTGGACCTTTGGTACCTAGGTAGGTACTGATTCCCAACCTGTGAAAAGGGCCTTCGGGTTGAGGGGAGGCAAGGCACGTCTACTCCGTATGTTGTCCCATCCCTACCTTATCTGAGGCGCCATAGTGCTTGGATCAACTCATGAGCAAGACGCACAGTCGCGGTGTTGTCGTCTCCCGCCTGTGCTCTGTTGCCCCTAATTGATTAAACTCGGATCCTGGCTCCTCTTCTGTCTTCCGCACATCGTCTGTGACAATTGACAGTCGGCACGGTATGAGAAGATGTTTTGTACAAGCTTTAGGATGTTACATATGTGACGAACTCCAAAGTACACATCCACAGGAAGGCACGCGACATGAGCGAGACAGAGTCAAGATCCTTGCCTTCTCCTTCACTACTAACATCGCATGCTCCTGCTAATGTTGCAAATAGGGCTGTGTCATGGTGACGAGAAATATTCCAGAAGAATCTCTTGCTCGACAGCAATGGTGTATGTGCCGCGCGGAATTCGAAATGGGCAAGGCCTAAGTACGTTCCTCTTGTTACTATACGTTCTTCTGGTGTACATCTGCCACGGCCGGTGGCACTGTCGGGAGATCAGTTTACTTGTGTACATTTGTTTTTCATATGCCGTGAAGCTCTTTCCTTGTCTCAGCATGGCGAAGACCATGCAGTGGTATATTGCGTCGAAGACAAAAAGCCGGGAGATGTTTAATTTCGCAACCAAGAAAACGCCCACGATTGTCCGGCTTATCGCCCTTGCCCTTTCCATGCAATCCGTATGCTTTTGTCATGGTATATCCGTGCATTCCCTCCATAGTTCTATATCGTCAAGTTTCAGCAAACCCTGGTCTGATTTTGGATCCAGTCCCATCTCTTGAACTTCGCAGTGAACTCCGTAATTGCAAGACCCCATGGAGGCAGTTCGGCGCACGTTCTCTCGCCATCAAGCAGCACGGCATTCCGCCCCTTCATAATGCTGAGTAAAAACCAACACAACCTGCTCTAGCTTTGCAAACCTTCACCATATCATCCTCATCAACCCAACCGCTCATCGAAATTTTCCGAGCAGAGAAGCCTGAGATGAAAACAAAAGCCTCCTAAGAACAACAACGATGGGCACAATCAAGCTGTACCGTCTGCTTCTCTCGTTACCCCATCTTGGCCTGTAGGTGTAGCCGATTCATCATCTGATGTTTCTTTGCCAAGGATCTTTTCATCACCACCAGAGCAATCTCTGACATTGAACCACCCGCCGCGCTCCCACTGTCCTGGGGCATATAGACACATTGCACGAGTGTCATCTTCCACTATTCCCAAGAGTAAGGTATTGAGACGCCTGAAGTCAATGGGCTTCAGAATCCATCCGTCGAAACCTGCACTGACGTATTTGTCCCTCTCACGCTCTATCAGGGATGCCGAAACCGCAAAAATGGGAATTCTGCCATTATGACTGGCGATGGAAGAGTGCCCACCGTGCTCGCTAGACTTTTCGAAGGCTCGGATCATCTTAGTGCTCGTCAGGCCATCAACTATCGGCATCTACGATGAAAAGTTGGCTGTTAGCACAGGAGATGACTAGGGACCGACCGGGAGCACGTACCTGCATGTCCATCAAAACGACGTCAAAGGCACTAGACTTTTCACGATAAACCGTCGCGCAGTCTTCGCCGTTTACAGCATGTGAAACTTGATGGCCTGATTTCTCCAGGCGCTTCCGCAGAATCCGTGAGTTGATGGGGTCATCCTCGGCGATAAGGACTTGCAACTTTGTAGTATCTGGCCCTGAGACGACACTTGTGGTCGTTCCAATCGTACCGCTTTCCGAGGCTGCCCCATGTGTATGTTTTTCTGATACTTCAAATAGCACTCGAGATGATGCGCTCTCCTGAGGCATAGAAGACGGTGGTTCCAAGTACTCGTCGGGAATTTTGACCGCCCTGATGGGAGTTTTCGTATCTTTCACGCTACTAAAGCCCACTTCATGCCGTGATGATGAGTCTATCGCAGGTCCATTCTTCCGGCTTGTCCGCAGCGAATTCGGCGATCCCATGACGCTAGAAGAGTTGCCGTCTGAGGACTTTGGTCGGTAGAGTGTTTCTCTGGAGAATTGGCGCTGAGCAACTGGTCGGCTCATGTCCACCTCTCCAATGGACAATGGCGTTTGAATGGCGTCTATCAAGCGATCCGCATCACTCCGAGAACTGTTGTCGCTGGCTCTGCTGGTCCCTGTGGCGGCGCTCTTCTGACTCTCAAGACTTCTGGTTTCCGCTTTGGGACCCGAATCCCCAGGCATCATTTCTTCAAATCCGTCGTTTTGTTGTGTTTGCTTGCTTCCGCGATCAATGAGCATGAGTTCGCCGTCGCTATCAGGCATGACCGCAGTAGTCACGGATGCTACGCTGGATGCTGCAGCTGACTCCGAATGCCTTAGGCCTCCAGCTGGTGCTGGCGCGTCATCCGGTATATCGAAAGGCAACTGTATGATGAATCGTGATCCTGTACCTTGTTCTGATTTAAGACGCAGCTGGCCATCCATATTCCGAACGATCCTGGCAACGACGGCCAACCCCAGGCCCAGAATTCTATCTTCTTTTCCGGCTTCATCATCCTTGGAAGGTAAGGTCGTTTCGCCTAGTTCGACGCTGACTTGTTCCAGATCTCGGAAGAGAGTGTCCAACTGCCTGGCCGTCATTCCTTTGCCCGTGTCTTCGACCAGAATTTCGATCCGTACACGTCGGTCAAGAACTTCGCTAACGTATAGTTCGACTTTGACGTACCCATTAGCGGTATTTTGCACGGCGTTGGCTGCGACGTTGGAAATGGCCTGTCTGAGACGTCGGCTATCACCACATACGTGACGAGGAAGGCCAGGGTGTTCGATAACCTGATACTCAATGCCCTTCCTCTTAGCGTCGTTGACAAATGGCTCTGTTGCTTCTCGTATGCACATGCCAAAGTCAAACACTTCATCCTTGACTAGATTCTGGCCTTCCTCTGTTTGGGTGAGATCGAGTAGGTCGTTGATGACGTAAATTAGCGACTTAGATGCAGAATGAGATTTTGCCAGATTGTCGCGTGTCTCTTGATCCAGAGAGCCTTCCAACGCAATTTCCAGGTAATTGATGATGGCGTTCAAGGGGGTGCGTACTTCGTGTGCCGAATTTGCGAGCAGAAGTCGTGTAAGACGGCTGCTCTGCAACGCAGCTTCTTTCTGTCTCCACACTTCGATAAATTTGCCATAGACAAGACACAGCACAGCCGATGTCTCGACCTGTTCTTCTGACCACTCTCGACACTTACCAAGCACCGTCTCGTGCCAGGTTTTGAAGCTTTTCCGGGGCTCCAGGTAGGCAGCTGTTCCTTCGCGCAAAGTCTTTTCATAGGGATTACCGGCCCATTTGACCTCCTTGACCTGGCCCTTTCGGAAGAAAACGATGAAGTCATTGCCGCCCACACTCAATGGGACGTAGAGGAGGCCTGCGATGACGGTGAAACCCAGAGGATAGTGCAAGTCTGGAAAATCCTCCCGAATATCCTGAGAGGTGACCACAGACGTGAGTTCGCGCAAGCGTAGGTATTCCAGCATCGCCAGAGCCTCTTGAGACTGCTCGATCTCGCCAAGAATCTTGGTTTCTCCCTTAATCGAAAGCATCCCAAAGTCTGCATCAAAAAGCTTCAAGAGATCGTCCGACGACGCGATGATGTACCCAGATGGATTCTTATCTGTAGGCGCAGTGTTGATGAGTTTCCGAGCTTGAAGTCGGGTTGCGTACGATAATCTCTCGATGTTCCGTGACGCCGTATCCCCGACCAGGCGACACATTTTGCGGATAGGAAAAGACACCCGCATGCCTTTGCGGCCGTAAGAATGACACGCAATGAGGCCCCACAGCTCGTTGAAAGCATTGATGGAAACCGACATGGAGGATCGTACGGCCATATTGGCGAGATATTTGAGGTGAATAGGAGACATGGCTCGCAGGTACGAGTGGCTGAGGTCTAGGGGCAGGTCGAGATCCTCCTTGGCTTTGCAGACCAACCTTGCGGTCTCGAGGTCGCGATCGTACAGAAGCCTCACCTTGTTTAACTTATACAGGTCGCGAGCTTGTCGTGGAATGTCGGAGGCCGGAAAATGAAGTCCCTTGTACAAATCCTTCGTATGCGTGGTATCAACCAACTCGGTGACGACCTTTCCGTTGTAGGAAGAGTCAAATTGGTAGATCATGACTCGGTGAAAGCCGGTGAGTTCTTTGACAATGCCCACCAATATTTTCAAGAATCCTTCCAGATTGGAAGCTGCAGCAAGCTGCTCTTGTACCTGGGACATGATGTCGAATACTTGCATAGCCCCGGCGTCACCTCTGCGCTTTCGCGCACTTCGTAGAACCCTCAAAGGCTTGCTCAAGATTTCGGTGCTTTCGGCCAGTTCTTCCATCGTTGGGTTGGACTGGAGTGTATCTTCTGGTGTGTTCGGAGTTGCCTCTTCTGGTGGCCGCAGTGGAAACTGATGATCATCATCTATCTCAAACTCGCAGATTATCAGGTCAGGATGCGCTGGGTTTATGTGTATAGCGCACCAAAGCTTGACACTCTTCCTCCTTGGTGGGCGAATCGACAGGCTGAAGACCTCGGGTCCGTTGATGGCTGGGTCGGCATCCTCGTCACGAATGAAGTCAATGTGATCCAATAGGTTATCCTGCTGCTCTTCGGTTAAAATATCGAGGAAGCTGTTCAGACGAAACAGCAGCTGAGGCGAGTAACCCGTTAACCTCTCCGTATTCTCGCTGGCGTAACGAACAGAGAAGCGCCCGTCTGCCTCTTCCCGAATGGCCACCAGGGCACCGAATCCCTGAACGGCACCAGGAGTGTGGATAGGTTCGTCTTCGCATCGTTGCAAAACATTGTCGGTGCCGGTGATGACATGGTGACCTTCGTCTGTCATGACATATTTGAAGCGCGTCGTGAAAAGACCATCGGTCCCGAGTTCGCTAAGCTGGCTTGTGGTGAGGGATGCTGGGCGCTGGGAGGAATCATCCCCTGGTACCGACTCATCTTCGCCGTCTGAGATAACGTCTTGAAATAGTTCGAGAGGCTTCGAATTCGCATGGCGCACGGCATCGGCCTGGACGCTTGATAACGGCCCGCTACCAGTATTCTTTCTCCGGGTCAAGACAGGTTGTCGGTCGCTCGGTGAAGTTACAGTGGAGGGGTGAGAATGGGAGGTGGTGGCAGAGGCGGAATCACGGCGAGAGGCGGCGCCAAGAGCAGCGGTGTCGATTCGAGGATTACCAGGCCGGGGTGCCGGATATTGACCGTGGTCGGGTAGTCGGGGAAAGTAGTCGTGTTCGCTTGATGATCTACCGGTGCGCTGGACACTCACGACGGAGCGGATGGGAAATACCCTATCCGAAGGGTCAGGGCTCGCACCGTGACCAAGCTGGCGATCGGAGCTGGCGCTCCATGATGAAGAGCAGCTGGGGGTAGCAGCATTGGCGGAGACGGGTGCAGAAGATGCAGCAGATGCGGCAAAGGCGTCAGGTGTGGACGAGTCGTCGACGTGCGGCGCGGCGGGGTTTGAATGGGAGCTCGCGATGGGAGTTGCCTCAGACGAATCGTCCGTTGTAGACTGGTCGGCGAAAGTAACGGAAGGCCGGCGGGTGTCGGATCGGGCGTCCATACTTGACTATACGCGGCGAAAGACCTAAAAGTCTATGAAATCCCACAAAGATGCAAGCTCTGGACGCGACCTCGCCGGAGGCTAAGAGGTCTGCAATCAGTAAAGCTTAGCATGAGGCAACAAGACAAACAGAGCACCCTCTCGTTGTTGTTGGTGTTGGTTTGGTATGACCTCCAAGATAGAGAGGAAACGGATTTGTGTCGAGGAAGACACGGCGTCCGCAAGGGTAGGAGAAAGGAGGACTAGGCCCCCAGTGTCCTTGTCGACGGACTGGCTGCGAGACGCTCTATTCGTCGATCATTCGATTCCGGAGGGGCAGCCCGGATGGGAAAGTCGGGGGATGGGATGCGGTTCTGCGGTTTTGCGGTTATTCGATTGTTCGATTGTTCGAGGGCAAGTGAGCGAGCCGGGGGGCTGGTTGGTTGATTGTTGTGGACAGGGCCCTACTACTGTATTCGTACAGACTAGAGTGGGCGCGCCGGGGATAGCGGGCAGTGGTGAACAGCGGTTGCAGAGACACCTCGATGACTGTCAGACACGGAGATGGAGATGCGAATGGGAGTTGCAGCTCTCAGATTCCCTCGAACATAGGTTGATCGGTTTGTGGCGGCGGTGATTGAGGGGCCTGGGGTGCGGTAAATGGCAGGCGTTGTGGGTACCCCGTCGTGCGCCGTAAGTACGCATACAGCGACGTCAACGATGCACCAGCCGGGCAACTACTTGGGGCAGAGTAGGTATGTTAACCGAGGGGTTCCAATCGAAAGGCAAGCGTGGGTGGCAACGAATTGCTAAAGGCAAGATCAGGGTGACGGCTTTGTGTATGCGATCAACGTAGCGGAAGGTGATGCACAAGAACAGAATTCTGTGGCGATGGTCCAAGGTAGGTCAGGGTAGGTAGACTAACGTTTGATAGGTAGGTAGGTAAGTAAGTAGGCAGTATAGCGTATTGCTAGTAACAATGCGGTAGCAGGTGGTGGTCGTGTAGTACCACGAGACGGGGGGCAGAGATCCTAATCACAAGAGATCAAGAGTCGAACCGATGGCAAATGCAGCACCGTGGGGGGTGGTGTACGTAAACGGCGATTATCGAGGCCGCTGGCGGAGGGAAGATTAATGTGTCAAGGATGAGGGTCCAAGGCGGAGGAATGAGGAGTAGGGGGAGAGTGTGGAAGAGAAAGAGTATGTGAAAGAGGGAGAGCGGGAGGGAGAGAGAGGAAGCCACAGACACGGGCATTCACTTCAATGAGGGTTTCCGCAAGTACCTGCCCCGGAGTGGCAACAATCAATCATCATCAACGAGGCAAGGTAGGTAGAGATGAAGAGAAGACGGAGGAAAAGAGGGGGGAGAGGGAGGAAGGAAATGTGAATTTACACCAACGTGAGTGGCAGCATTCATTGGCAGCCTTGAACAGGAAAGACATGGACGGACAGCTACCTGCCTACCTACACCAGTCTCTCTCGGGCTGGATTCTTCGTCCTGGGCTCTAGACTGCGGACTCTACTCTAAGGTGGACTCTGGATTGGATTCCATTCTGAATTATGGAGTCTGCGGCGTGTAGGCAAGGTAGGTACAGAGGTAGGTACAGAGAGGCAGGGTCAGGCAAGGCGAGACGAGACGAGGCGCTTGGAAACATGGCAAAGCGTCGGCCAATTTGACCCAGCCAAACAGCACAGAAAGCAGTCGAACGTACCTGAGGTACGGACGCCTACCTACATACCTACCTACCCACAACCCACAGCTTCCACGCCAGCTCCAGCAGCAACAGACCAGCATACGCGCTGTGCCGCCATCAGCAAGCAAGCAGCGGCAGACCCTCATTCAGGTGGCGGCTGTCGACCAGGGCAGCTCGAGTCCAAGAGTGGTGCGAGGGATCATGGATGTGCGGCCTAGGCTTTCTTAGCGTGTCGATCACTGGTCAAGTGGTCCCCATCGTGGATTAAGCCTGGCCATCAGTCTTTGCTCTCCTTTCTCAGGCATTACCCATGCTCATCTACATGGTAACGCTACTGCATACTGCGTAGAGTCCGTCCTGCACCTCATCCGAGGCATGTACTTACTTTGAGTAAGGTAAGGTGCCTCTCGTGTGCTCCTTGTCGAGGGTACAAGCGTCGTGGCCGAGCACAACCCTTCCCACCAAGGTATTCAAGACGTCTTGCATCGTTCATCTGTCGCCTACGAATACGCACGCAGCAGCCAGCGCCTTCGCTGAGGTGAGAGGCACATGCGCGCCGCCAGAGACCCATACTGCCCATTGCGCTGCACTGCACTGTAGACATTCAGACAGACATCCATTGGGACAGTTGGAGACTTGGGCAGGGGGCACCCTCGCACTGGAAACCGAGTGGACGTTTTCCTCCGAAGCCGACTGCTGCACTGGGCTGTTTTGTCGTGAAGGAAGGCACCGCACGTCACACGTCCAACAGGCATCTATCCGTAGGCTTCAGGAGTCTGATCTTCAACCTTCACCGACCTCACAGTCGGTCGCACCAACAAGCCGGATTCGAGAAGCGGCACTTGCCGGAGGGCCACATGGGGCTCAGCTGATAGGAATTGCTGCAATGTCCCGAGTCCGGCAAAGCAAGCAACTTGATCCAAACCAGTCCGAAGAGATGAAGTGCATTCTTCTGCGTCGAGGTCGGGCTGAACTGGGATTGGGCAGCCTGGAACGTAGCGGGTACACGTGCCGCTTGGGGCCTACGCAGTACCCGTACACTACTCCGTATTCCATTCCTGAATGCGTGAAGAGCAGGGTTTCCTGGAGACTTCCCATCGGCATGGCTTGCCCCTGATCCCTCTGTTCTCCGTTGCGGTAGGGAGGACAATGTCTTGTGCGAGTTGGAAATCTTCTCAGTGCGAATCTGCCGTTCCCAACCAAGGTATCCCGGGATTCTCCTACGAGGGAGGGGGGGAGAAGGGTCCCGAATGTCATATGTCATTACGAGAAGATTCGCGACCGGTTTTCTCCCATGGACTTTGCATGGCAAAATTGAGCAAGAAGGATGGGATTTCTGGTGGTGGAGAAAGGTCATTTTCTACAACTACGCGCCCCATCCCTCCAGCGGCAATTGCCCGAAGCTACACCCCACAAAGTCGCTTTAACTTCTTCCATGGAGTGTCTGCAGCTAGGCCAGGTCTACTTATGCTCAGTATGTAGACTATCGGCGCACTGGGACTGCAGCAGCCGGGATAAACCAAGAGAAGAGGAGAACGAATGAGAAGAATAATACTATGTAGAAGGTACAACAACAAGTATAAAACATCATGGCAAAAGGAGTCTGTTGTTTAAAAAGCAAGCGTACCTCAGCCGACAAGCGAGACAGAAGCCAATGCCAAAGATTCAGTCCCGAGGGGGGGGGGATGCTCTATAAGCAGCGGGGTTTAGGTTCCCGGCGCCGACTAAGGAACTAGGATCCTTGANAAGGGGTTGGGAAAAAAAAAAAAAAAAAAAAAAAGCTGCATTCTACTCCCAGGAGCCGCGGAGCTTGTTCCAAGGGGGATATCGTATCCGGCTGGCTTAGCTTCTCTCTCTTGCCCCCCTTCTTCTTCTTTCTCGGTCTATCGACTTCCACTGCAACTACGCGTTCCTCCCTCCACTTGGCGAGACGTAGTTCCGTAGGATAATAAGGTGCCGGAGGCGGAGGGAATGCAATTCAAGTTGTCAAAGTGCGCACAAGGGGAGAGAGAAGAGGGGTAGCAAGACCAAGAGAAGTGTTGGAGGGGAGCGAATGTGTGAGTGGGTGCTTGGGACGATCGGGATCCCACTGTAGCTAAACAAAGGCGGAAATCGTGGAACCTGCATCATGTCGGTGTTCTGTCGCCACCACCGCCGCTCATCGGCCTTGAGTGCCACCTATACAGGCTCTTGCAATATGCTCTGCTGATATCTTTACCTCTGCCTCTGCAATTTTTTGTTTTGTTTCCAACTGCGTAGTCCCTCGCTTCCGCCGCATTTCCCCTGACCATTCGTCACGACTATGCGCTGTTGCTCATTTGCCTGTTGAGGGCGGAAACAGGCGGGTTCAGTAACGCCTTGGATCGTGATGATGATCCTGTATCTCAGATCCGCTGTACTTACCTACCAGTGCCTACCTGGATACGGGCTACGACGGAGAAATGAGGGAATGCTGCTCCAGGCCCGCTTAGTCTAAAGTACACTACTGCTAGACCTGCATCGGTGATCTGGCGCAAAGCGTTAGCATCGGACCAGTCAGTCGATGACAACGACATGGGCGGGATGAAGACCAAAGCGTTAACCGTCCCGTTCCCCCCCCCCGCTCCCCTATCACCTAGCACCTCTCATCACCTCGTCAATGATGCAGACGACAATTTTGCTGCTGCGTACTGCTTGATAGTGATAATTCGTAGTGATGGATAGTACAAGCAGGCTGTAGTGGTCGCATACTGGGGAGGCTTAGCTACATAACGCTACGTCACCTTCTGTTGGCAGAGTAGAGAAGAGACGACGAGCAAATTCGTGGATTAAAGGGAATGGGATTCTCCAAATGCCTATGCTTCAATGGGATGTGCGACTGTCGATCCCTGCTTACGACAGGGAATCCTCCCTGGGCCTGCACCTGAGTCGCAGGCATCCCGCCGTGTTGGAGCAAGCTGATGAGGTAGTATTCGTGCCGGCGATGCAAGCAAAACAGGCTCCATCCAAGTTTTTTCCAGCCCAGGGACAGGTCCAGCCCGGGCTTAGGGCGTGAAACTCCTCGTAGATTAATCAACTTTTTGTGTCAACTCTGGTCTTCGGAAGTCTTTTGTGGACACCGGAAAAACAAAACTGGGACCGCTAACCGGACTTAGCTAGTAAATTTAGTGTATAACTCGGGGCTCGAATTATGCATACTTTTCCCCCTATCCGTTAAGTACCTCTGAAAACTAGGCCTAAAAACAGGGGTAGTTAACTAAAAAACTAACAAAAAATGCTGATTTTTAGGGCGTGAAACTCCTTGTAGATTAATTAACTTTTTGTGTTAACTTTAGTCTTTAGAAGTCT